AAACTCCTTATTAAACCCACGAATCCCTCGCGATTGAACTTCTTAATTTTCGGTGTTCCGTAGAAAGAAATCCCTCTGTGACTAAAAACTTTCCTACTTCTCCCCACCATTCCTCTCTGTTGCCCGACAAGGTTGCATCCTTATCATCTTCCTTGTTTTCTCTCTCGACCTTCATCAAATGGCTTCAGGATCCAGCCAAACCCCACCATTTTACGAATCCGGCGATGGAATCGCCACTCTACGCCGTCTACTCAACGGGCTGCATCGTCCGCGGGCAGGTTTACATTCTGAGCTATTCTTTGAGACGCATGGAGTATAGTCATTGGGCCCCGCCTAGATTTCTCGGGTCCCCTCAGTGGTGGAAAGCAACATGCCTAGGGAGAACTGGTTTACCCCAAATCCCTATTCGGCGAGTTCAGGCATCTCCTCTTCGAAATGGTCATCATATCGTCGAGGCTTTCCCTTGATGAATGATCCTACCTGGGCCCAGTGGGTTGACGAATTAGAGCCTTCCTTCAAGCAGAAATGGATGAGTAACGGTATTTATGAACTAATCATGCTTTCGAAGACTTCCGTTATCTCTAAGCCCGAATTAGTTACTTCTGCCCTCCTCTTTTGGAATACGGGCACAAATACTTTCGATTTCCGTATGGGCCCCATGTCTCCCACCATTCTTGACATGGCCCAGGTCTTCGGTTTAAGGCCATCGGGCAGGATAGTGGACGTCACTCAAGACTGGGTTCCGTCCCCTACCACCGGGAGCTCGAGTTCATCTACCCCCTTCCTTCCTCTGAGCTATAACTCCGCCACTTTCAAGAGTTATGGGACCTCCTTTAAAGGATTCATTCCTTTTGTAAAGGAAAATTTTGGGGCAGGCTCCCCTCGGGCTGACAAAGATCAAGAGCATATGTATTTTCTTTTATACTGGCTCAACAAGCACATCTTCCCCAACAAATCTAAAGGAGTGAGGGTATAATGGATCCCCTTGGTAGAGGTTTTTCACAATTTTGATGATGTAGCCACAGGTCCATTCCTTCTTTCTCATCTCTATCACCTTCTTTTTGAAATGACTCGAGACGAGCCATTCGAGACCAACTTGAATGGACCTATCTGGATGATACAAATCTGGCTGCAATGGTATTTTCCAGAATTTCAGGCTGCTAATCTGGAGTTCCCAGAGGGTGTGGCTCATGCCCGAACCCTGGCTGAAGCTCCCCCTGTAGACCATTCTACCTTTGCCTGCTTTTACTTTTTCAGAGTCTGCAGGACTCGATCAGACTTAGAATGGGGTGCGTCTGTCTTGAGGAGATATCCTTGGTTCTCTAACCAAGCCTTCCAAGATGCCCCTAGTGAGGATGCTACCCCCTTTTGCAGGGAAAAATTTATTAGCTGTATTCAACCGAGAGACTTGGCCTGGGGGGTTCGGGGCAATAGATATGATCGCGGCTTGGAAGTGTACCATCCTAACTTCTGCAGCAGGCAGTTAGGATTTAGGCAAGCCATACCTGTTCCATTTTTCGATTATGTCCATTGTGGCACCTCATTCCGGTTACAAACTCCACCTGAAGTGACATTCCGAGCTGCCCGACGCAGCCTGGATGTAATGAGCCAAGCAGCCTGAAATTCCGTTGTTCTTAATTTTGAATGTACCTTGCTATTTTCTTCTTGGTGGGAGGACAAATGGACTAGAAAGTATGGAGGAGATTTGAAAGTGAATCACGATTGCATCTTCAACCAGCTTTCTCTTAAATCATATCCTGGCTCGGGCGAGCTTGCAAATTGGAAGGAAATAATTCAAGAGAAAAACCGGTTACTTCTGATAGGTACTTCTCTTTCCATCTGATTTCATTTCTCCTCTGATGTCCATCTTCCCTTACTTTTGTTTGATTATGCAGCTCCAGTGGATATTGAATCTGAAACCATTGAATCAGAGAATGACTCCGCTGATACTGCAGTTCTTCATGGTGCTGCCGCAGAGGCTGAGAGACGAGAAGCCGGGGAGGGGACGGACATCTCAGAATCCATTGGGGATTCAGGGGCTGAAGGAACACCTAAGGCAATCACTAAAGCCCCCAAGCGAAAGAAAGTGGTCATGGCTAAAGATTCAGACCCTGATTATGCACCTCTTCCGACAACCACAAGACCAATTCTCACTCGAAAGAGTAAGCGGGCAAGGATTACTATTCCTCCTAAATCAGGAGTCCCATCTGCTCCAGTTCCTGAGGCAGGCAGAAAGAAGCAACAATCTTCAAGTGAGTTTCTCTTTTTCTATATCAAACTGCTACCTTTCTCCTTTATCTAATTGTCCCTTTTATCGATCAACAGGACCTCAAGCATCTAAAAGGCCAATCCTTGCTTCTAAGGAGGAACCACTAAGGGCTGCTATGCTTAAAAAGGCCAAAGAATTGTGAAACACCGCCCTCCGAGAACTCGAGGTATGGCTGATATTATTGTATACTTTCTTACTCTCACACAACTCTAAATTTGATTACTCTGACTCAGGCTGCAAGAGAGGAAACACTCTCTTCGCCCGAGGCTTCTCCACAACCTGCCCGAGAGAAAAAAATTTTCCCCCTCCCAGACCAATCCTGCTGAGGTACTTTCTCTCCATCTACTTCTTGGATATCTCTCCAATTTATGGATCTAATGGCTAAGGTCTTTTCTTTCCTTCTATTTTGTTTTCCTAGGCTGGCGCATCTGCCTCCTTGCCTAGTCATGGACCTCCTCTGAGATCTATGACTTCTTCTACTGCTCTGGATGCGACCCCTTCTTCTCAATTTGATCCGTCCACCGGAGTTATGCTACACTTCGTGGATGAGGATGATCCCTTGGTGAGTTATTATTTCCTCCTTGAAATTCTGCACATTGCTACCCAATTAAATCCTATTCATGTTTCCTGCAGCCGTCCCCAGTATATGAGCCACCTCCCTCACTAGTGGTCTCGAATAAGGAACCCATAGTTCCTGAGATCCCTGTTACTTCAGATGCAGCAATTCCACAGGCGTTTGCTTGCCCGATAGTTGATGAACCTTCTTCTCCTCCCCAAGATCAGACTCAGGTACTGGAATATTTTCTTCTCGCTTCTTCCTCTGGTGACCTTTTTACTGACAATTACTGCTTTCTTTGGATATATCCAGGATGCAGGCACAGGTTCAGGCGCAGCTCTTTCCTCTCCTGCTAGCAGTGAAGAATCTTCACCCCAACAAGGAGTTGGTACATTCTCTGGTGAAACTCCGGGGCTGACCCATGTAGATTTCTTCTTTCCAGAACCTCTTTTTGCTTCAACCTGTATTCAGATTATCTTGACCTAGTCTTTTGGTTTTTGTAGCAAGCTTCAAAAGAAACTTCCCCTCCTCCATTGGCTCGTAAATCAAAGCGCACCCATCCTCATTCATCTTCTGGAGGTATTGATACTTCCCCTCTGGAGTTGAACAGACTAAACAGGCAGAGATTGCCCCCTCAATAGGCATTGTCTCATCGGAGGGAATTGTCACGCCGGACCCTCCTCCTTTCCCATCCTCTGATCTTGCCAAGTTGCCCAAACTCTTTGAAGCGCTCGGGCGACTTGAGACGCGGTTGAAATCTTCAACGCAGCCTTCAGCAACCTCCATGTCCTCAGAGCAACATCGAATCTTTCAGGAATGGGCAAAGAAAGAATTCACCGCGTCATTTAGTCTCAAGGCTCTTTGTGATCTTGAGAAGGTCATAACTGAATTTTTCAAAACCGGTCGTTTGTCCAAGCCTCAGCATGATTCTTTCCTCTCTTTCTTTGAAAACTTGAGGGCTCTCAGGGAACAATACCAGAGAGCGGACAGACAGGCTAACTAGGCAAAATGCTTTATGGAGAAAGAATCAAACTCCTCTACCCAAGTTAACCAGCTGATGGAAGAAAGCATGCAGACCAAAGAAAGGGTTAAAGTGGTTTCTTCTGAAATCCAGAAGCTAGAAGAGCAACTGATTGCCCTTAAGGCAGAACAAGCAACTCTTCTAGACACCCTTGAACACCAAATCGAAGGGGTAGAGAAAGCAACTTCGGAGTTAGAGCAAGCCAAGTCCCAACTTGTAAACAACCATACTGTCTTGGCCGAACCTAGTAGGATTTTTACCATCATGCGAACATATCATTCTAGAATAATCACTCTATGTGAAGATGTAAAGTTTTTAGAATAGAATGATTTGTAACTCCTTTTGTATTGGAATGAACATGTAATTTACTTCTTGCTCTACCATATCTGAATTGACTTTGGGCAACTATTTGCCCCCTCTATCTACGCATTTTTCTCCTCCACCTTCCCTGTTGACAACCTTATAATCAGCCCCTTGGTCCTCTGGTCCCCTCATGGCACCTCTATTCAACCGACAACCCTGGCTCCTTAAAAATGAGGTTGATCATATTGATAGGAGCCTCCGGAAAAGGGTTAGTGTCCACCATCATACTGGCTTGGGGTGAGTCAAGTAATAGCTTCCCTTTCACTATAAGATCTTGCACCCAATCTCTAAACTGGACACAATTAACTATAGAATGGTTGAAGGTATAATGCAACTTGCAATACTTTTTCCCCCTGAGTTCCTCGGGCTTGGGCATCTTTTTGGTACTGTCGGGCAAAATTACTCTCGCCCGCACCAATTCTTCATAGATCTCCGGTGCCTTGGTTAAATCGAACGAATAACTCTGATACTTTGGGGGTTTCATGGGGACGAAACCACCATCATTCATCACGATCTTCTGATCCTTGACAGGTTGGACTAACCCTTTGAATGTCAATGGTTTGAAGGGTGTGGTCATCTCAGCAGCACATACATCTATATTTTCTTCCTCATGGCCATCCTCGCGTTCGGGGCTGGTTTCTCCTACCTCCACATGGTGAATAGTAGCCTTGCTTTTGTAGAAATGAGGGACTTTGGAAGTGTGCTTCACTTGCTGTTCCTCTTGCAACAACCTCTCATACTTCGTGGCAGCAATCACCAGTTCTTGCAGCTCATTAAACTGTGCATCATAAAACCTTTTTCTCAAAGGTAATTTTAAAGCCCTTTGAGCAATGGATATGAGTTGTGCTTGGTTGACGGGGAATTGGCATCTCATCCTTGTTCTCCTGAACCTCATCATGAAATCTTCTGTGGACTCATGATCGTATTGTTTTACCTCCACTAGATCATTGATGGTCAATTCTGGCTCTATTCTGTAGAACTGTTCATGGAAAGCCATCTCCATTTGCCCCCAGTTGGCAATAGAGTTGGGGGGTAATAGAGAATACCATTGAGACGCCAATCCTGCCAATGAATTTCCAAACAACCTCAATTTGTAGTTTGGATTGTCCTCATACGCCACACAGTGATTGGAGAATTTGAAAATATGGTCTCTGGAGGACACACTGCTGTCTTCACCTGTGAAGGTAGGGAATGCGGGCATCTTGAAGTTGAGAGGGAGTGGATTTAGCTCGTCGATATATTCAGGATATGGCTTCTGGTAAGTAATCCTGAATACTGGGCGAGCCCGCGGCTGGGCGTTTTGAGTCACCGTTCTTCTTAACTCAGCCAATTCCTCCCTTAGTTGCTGAGTGACTAAATTATCATTATGACCGAGGATCGTAGATTCAATCTTCGGGCTCTGGTCATTGCCTGCATTTGCTTCCCTCCTTGGTTCGGGCTTCCTCCAGTTAGATCATCCACCTTTATTGACCATCGGGGGTGGCCTATAGGGTGGAGGTTTATCTGAAGTAGTAGTAGTAGTACCCTCTTTCCCACTAGTTTCTCCCATCATAACTGGCAGTCCGAACCTCATTTTTTCTTGTTCGTTCTGCCTCCTGTTATTAAATGATAATAATGGGAAGCTGGGAAACTCCTTCTCCGGAACTGGCTCTATCGCTGGTTGACTTCCTTCAGGGATTACCTTCTTCTTTCCCCTATCCCTTTCTTCTTCTAGTAGTGGGAATAAGGGAACGATTGGCTCATTTCTTGTGATAACCTGGCTCATTCCACTTCCTTGAGCACCCTTTGGAGTAGAGAACTCCAAATCAAGCCTTCTCTGTAGATTCCCTGTGAGCATACAGAATCTGCTTACTTCTCCCTTTGTTTCCAGGGAGATCCTTTCCATGCTCTTTAACACTTGGATCATTGTAGCTTGTAGCTCTTCATTGGTTCCCTTTCCTTGTGATCTTTCAGATGCAGTCGGGCTATCTGAAACCACCTGTCCGGATGGGGAAGAAGGATTTTCTGATTGTTCTGCCATTTGGAGAAGACCTTCCTTTGGATTCTTTTTACCAAGTTTATGGTTCTTCTTTTTGGACATGCAAGATCTGGAAGTCTAGATCCCACCGGGCGTGCCAAAACTATGTTCGTCGCAGGAATTTCCGTCGGGGATGACTTTCTGGCCAACGAGCACACAACTCCCCTAGGAGATCGGCGCCGGTTGAGGGCTGCTGTCGGGCTTCTGCTTTCCTGTCGGGCTTTGTCGGGCAAGTATTTTATCGGGCAAGACTCTGCGGGCGAGACTTGTCGGGCAAATCTGAAAGAGAAGGACAGAGTTAATTTGAAAGGTGCCTTTGTGGGGCCTTAGGTATAGGCCTTGAGGCTCACAATCAAGATTAACTTTTGAGGTGCTCAGGCGTGCCACTGCCATCTTCAGTATGGCAGATGTAGAATGGATATCGAATTTTAGGTGCAAACATGTATATACCCGAGAAACCGTGTTAGATATGACAAGTGCCTTTGTGGGGCCTTAGGTGTAGGCCTTGAGGTTTCCTGTCAAACTAAACCAGTGCTCGAACACATCATATTTGAACTTATGTTTGTCGGAGTCTTATAACTATTATATTTCTGATTATCCGAGTCTGAGAGGTAGAGCGAACCCAAATAGGTGCCTTTGTGGGGCCTTAGGTGTAGGCCTTGAGGCTTCGCATTAGAGTCCGTTCTTATACTCAAACCATCTAGACCGCAGAATAGAATGAATCCAAATAAGTGCCTTTGTGGGGCCTTAGGTGTAGGCCTTGAGGCTTCCTATCAGAATCCATTCCATACTTAAGCGTTCTATGATAATCATGATATAATAGAAACAAAACCAAGAGGTAGGTCGATTACTTGCGCCCCAAGTAACTTCGGACTTCTCGTTTATCAAGGATTGTCGTGGATGGGTTAAGTCCACATAAAGTTCTTTTTTATGCCTTGAGGCCAAGGACTTTTAAACTAATCAGATTTACATGCCCGAGGGCTTAGGACTTGGATCTGATTTAAACACTGAAGATATATTCAAATCGGATCCAAGTACTGAGAAAGCTTTGTCATCGTGATTTTTGCTAGAAACAACTTGCATATAACTGGAAGTATACAACATATTGCTAGACTTTAAAGAAAGAAAAGACAAAGACAGAGCAAAGCAGGTCGGGCAAGATTAAACCTTATCAATTAAGGCTGATCGTCTTGCAGGTCCCTATCTTTGTAGTTTTGTCAAAGGTCTGAAAGCTTAGAGGGAGAGAGAGAGATAGAGGATACAAAAGGTGAATCGATACTACCACAGGTTTAGAACAAGGTAGCAGAGCTATTACAGAGGTTAGAAGAAAAGGTTATCCCGCGGGGGATAAAGGCTTGTCCCTAATGGGATGAAGGCTTGGGCTGACTACAACTTCGTTTTGAAAGGCAAATCTGGCTTTGAGCAGAGTTTTGGCTTGCATTTGTTTGTTTGTTTGAGTGTCCTCATTCCTGTCTCCTCTTCCTCCTTTTATAGACGACTCGGTTTGGCTCCTGTAGCGACAGCTTTGCCCGAATGCAGTCTGAGGGTGATGACTCATCAACTTTATTACATATAATGCCACCATAAAGTACTTTATGGGCTGTGCAGTCTGATCAGTCTACACCACTTGGTCCTTGGGTAGGTAAGCAAGTGGCTTCTATGAATTGTATCAAGTCAGAAAAGGCCCCTTCCTGCTTCCTAAGTTTCGGCCGGGCCTTGATCTTCTATTCCTCCAGGCCTCTTGTTGGGCTGACTCCATCCTTCAGCCCAAAGTCCAGTTTTAACCCAAACAGGTGACGTCAAGGTTTACTTCCTATGCTTTCCTGAGTCTCAAGGGCTTACGAGTGTCAAGGTACAATTTTTTGATGATTCAGTAGCAAAGCTTTTTCAGGTTTCCCATAAGGTAATATTTCATTTCAGCATAAACTTTTGTTTGATCAATAATCTTTCTTGCAGGCTTTGTGTCTGCCCACTTTTCAAAATCTGATCCAATTGGAGCTTGTTCTTAGTGCTCGCAATTATTGGGAGTTTTCTAACAGGGTTCTTCGTGCTCACGGTTATTTTGTTTGATCAATGATGATCGTTCTAGTCAGAATAAAACGAAGACTGAACAAAATTTCACTCATTAACTCACAAATTAACATACTGTCAACCAAGAAACAAAAATCTGTCGGCTCACTTCAATACAAATCCTCCCTTTTCCCGTTAACGAAAAAAATATAAAATATAAAATTGAGCCATTGATGGTGATGAAGAGTGGCTATATTTTGTTTCCTTCACTCACTCTCAAATCTAAAACCTTGTTGATTTGTATATATTTTGTTTGTCTGAAAGTATCAGATTATTAATACAACAAGTGACGAATGAGAATTGCTATCCACACATGCCGTTTTAATTTATGTCTTTTAATCTTCTTCAACTCTTTCAATTCAATGTCGAAAATTAAGAAGAGTGCGTGGAAAGTAAAAAGGAGTATATGAACACCACCATTCCCAAAAAGAGAATTCAAAACGAGTCAACATATGAAGTGTCATGGTTCGAGGAACCACCGGACATCATCATGGACATTTTACTAGAGGATATTTCTAGTTAATGTGGCTGGTTTTATAATTTTATTTCCTTGAGGATAGCTAGGTTGCCTTATGTTGATTGTGCGGGGTGCTCTTTTCCCTTGAACTGGGTTGAAATTTCCGACAGGGCTTTTATCGGGGCCCCTTATGCACACTATCCTCAAGTTTTGTACGTTTTCCCTTGATCAATGAATATTGTACTGTTTCAAAAAAACGAGGCAACATATTTACTGCTCTTTGTGGTAATTAATCATTACGATCTATTAAGTTATTAACTTTTGGACTCTGTAAATTCTCAATGAGTGTGTGGAAAGTTTCTCTCTCTGTAAAATCTGACTATCCGAGTCCAGAGATTCCAGACTCTTGATTTTCTCTGCAATCAATTCAAAAATGTTTCGTTTGCTCGGTCATCTTAGAAGCTCTTATCAGGTACTACTCTTCTTAACCTGTTTTCTTCTTTAATCTGTTCGCTTCCTTGGAATAACTTTATTGTATCGTGAACTTACATATATATAGGTCTAAATGTTTTGCATGCATTTTTCGTTGCTTAAGTTTGTCTTTAAAAGCTTTTATGTTATCAAAGGTACAACAGAAAAGTGATCTCATTAATGTTTTTTATTAGCCATCAGGGTACATACCAATGGGTTCGACATCGAAGTGTCAAGAGCGAGTTGATAGGATCAGTGAATTGCCAAATTCACTTCTTTGCCACATACTTTCATTCTTTCCGATATTAGATGCTGTGCAGACTACAATTCTGTCAAGACGATGGGAGAACTTATGGACTCCTCTTCCCAAACTTGAATTTGATGATGATTGTTTTCCTTATTCATGGATTGAATCCAACATGATTGTTTTCCTTATTCATGGATTGAATCCAATCGTTTTTTAACATTTGTTGATCGTGTACTTTCCCTTCATGACTTATCAGACATTCAAAAATTCAGTATTGAACTTTATAGGTGTTGATAAAGCTCTAGTGAACCAACACCGGATCATTTAACTCTTATTTATAATTGGATCTGCACTGCTATTAGGCACAATGTTGTTTATCTTGATCTTTATCTTGGTCTTTGGGATTGCTGTGAAATGAGTATTGAGTTTGACTCAAAGCTCCTTCTTGTGCAAAACACTAGAGGTTTTGAAGGTTGTCATCAAATTTTATTACTTGTTCTCCTCCTACATCAGGCTGTTTCCCGAGTCTCAAGGTCCTAATTGTCCAGGTAGAGGATCTTGATGATTCAGTGGCAACTGCAAAGCTATTTTCTCATTGCCCTGTACTTGAAGATTTGAATATAGATGTAATTCCAAATGCTTATGCTTCAAATGTCAACATATCTGCACCTAGATTGAAGGCCTTAACAAAATCGTTGAACACTAACTATAATGAAAAGGACGGTGATTTTGTCCGTTTTTATATTGATGCTCCAAATCTGGAAAAGTTATCCATTGCGGCTGCCAATTCTCTCTTATTTTTGTTGGAAATTCAAATCAAATCAGGTTGTAAATGGCAGCTGCTAGCTGTTAGTTTCTTTACAGGTTGTATTCACACTTGCTGCAACTACAAAGACTAAAGTTTCCTCCATGTGCCAGCTGAAAGTGTGTTCAAAGACAGCAGCTGTGTGCTGCCATGTGATGTGCTAGCCGAAAACTATGTTGATTGCAAGCTGGAAAGATAGCTGCACATGTGTGCTAGACTGTCCAAAGTTCATATGATCTGTTTGTGTGTGCTATTGTGTTTATTTTATTAAAAGCACTTGAGTGGTCCTTCATTTTCTGCTTGTATAAATAAGCCTCCCGTAAGGCTTTAGGATGAGTCTTCTGATTTGTCATTCCATGTCAGAAGTGTTTGCAAATTGTTTTAAATATATCAAAGTGCATTGTTTGCCGAAGCTTGTAGCTTCCCTCCTTTCTCTATTTCTTTGTCCAATTTTATTGAGAGTGCAAAGTGAGAGGTGTGATAGAGTTTGTAAACTTATCAACCCATATATTTTGTATTGAGTTAGTAAACTTCTCAATACAACAATTTTGGTTTGGAGAGTGAAAAATCTCTTAGTCGAAGAAACAGTTTATTTCAGGAGTATAGTTGAATATTCTTCCGCCATTGATGACTGGTGCAACTAAGTTTCTAGCAGGAATTTCTAATGTTAGAATCTATCTCTTACGGTTTCAATTTTTGAGGTAACCATACCTAGGTTTCTTTCCCCTTCTTACCATTTTTCTTTTTCTTAAAAACTTTGTTGCTCTTATTGTTCTTTCATTTATACCAAACTTAATTGTGGTTGTGACTGGAAGCTTTTCTGTTTAATTTTTGGAACGTTGCGATTCAAATATTTGTTATATATATTGCATCAACTTTTTGATTAATCAATGATCTTTCTTGCAGGCTTCGTGTTTGCCTACTTTTGAAAATCTGATTCAACTCGAGCTGAATTTTAGTGGTCGGGAAGATCAAAGATACTGTCATTCAGAGGCTTATGCCACTCATCATCCATTGGTGAGTTTCTTACAGGATTTCTGAAGAGTTCCCCTGGTCTTGAAACATTTTGAGTTTCATAATGTACTTTCTCTTATGCAGCATGATCTAATGTGACTCTTAACAATTCTTATTTTAACTGTTCTTTAAAATAAAATTGGCAGGACAACAAATGGTTTGAGGAACATGAGCATAAATGGAATGTGAGCAATAATCCACCAGACATCGTGCCTCTTTGTTTGTTGTCACATCTCCAGACCATCCATAAGGTGTTTCAAGGGTCAGCGAGATGAGATGGAAGTTGCTAAATACTTTTTGAAGAATGGCAAAGTTTTAAATAAAGATGACTATTCATACACTTCTCCTAGAACACATAAATTTTTGTGTTCGGAAGATGAGATGTGCAGGAAAATCTCAACATTTGAAAAGGGTTCAATGACTTGTCAAGTTGAATTTGTAAAGATGGGTGATAGATACTAGAGGGGGTCAAAGGACGTGTTATGCTGCTAAACATTTTTCTCTCTCTTCTTGTGATTTCTTTTTTACTTTGATTTTACTTATTTAACTTCTAGCATGTAGTGGTATTTCAGTTAGTAGATAAATTATTGATACTGAGCAGGCGTAGTTTTTTCGATTTGTTGAAAAACATCTCTCCTCTTTTCCCTCCTCTGATAGAGAGATGGCGTTTCAGTCAACTTATCGTAAATAACATATTACGCGTGCCTCTCGAGGGAAAACCTATCAATTATGTGTTATCTCTCGCTAACTGATGAATACACTACATGCTAGAATGTTAAATAAGTAAAATCAAAGTAAAAAAGAAATCCACAAGAAAAAGAGCATCTTCAATCAACAGAGAAAATTGTTTAGCAGCAATAACACGTCCTTTGACCCCCTCTAGTATCTATCACCCATCTTTACAAATTCAACTTGACAAGTCATTGAACCCTTTTCAAATGTTGAGATTTTCCTGCACATCTCATCTTCCGAACACAAAAATTTATGTGTTCTAGGAGAAGTGTATGAATAGTCATCTTATTTAAAACTTTGCCATTCTTCAAAAAGTATTTAGCAACTTCCATCTCATCTCGCTGACCCTTGAAACACCTTATGGAGATGGTCTGGAGATGTGACAACAAACAAAGAGGCACGATGTCTGGTGGATTATTGCTCACATTCCATTTATGCTCATGTTCCTCAAACCATTTGTTGTCCTGCCAATTTTATTTTAAAGAACAGTTAAAATAAGAATTGTTAAGAGTCACATATTAGATCATGCTGCATAAGAGAAAGTACATTATGAAACTCAAAATGTTTCAAGACAGGGGAACTCTTCAGAAATCCTGTAAGAAACTCACCAATGGATGATGAGTGGCATAAGCCTTGCTGAATGACAGTATCTTTGATCTTCCGACCACTAAAATTCAGCTCGAGTTGAATCAGATTTTCAAAAGTAGGCAAACACGAAGCCTGCAAGAAAGATCATTGATTAATCAAAAAGTTGATGCAATATATATAACAAATTATTTGAATCGCAACGTTCCAAAATTAAACAGAAAAGCTTCCAGTCACAACCACAATTAAGTTTGGTATAAATGAAAGAACAATAAGAGCAACAAAGTTTTAAGAAAAAGAAAAATGGTAAGAAGGGGAAAGAAACCTAGGGTATGGTTACCTCAAAAATTGAAACCGTAAGAGATAGATTCTAACATTAGAAATTCCTGCTAGAAACTTAGTTGCACAGTCATCAATGGCGGAAGAATATTCAACTATACTCCTGAAATAAACTGTTTCTTCGACTAGAGATTTTTCACTCTCCAAACCAAAATTGTTGGTATTGAGAAGTTTACTAACTCAATACCAAAATATATGGGTGATAAGTTTACAAACTCTATCACACCTCTCACTTTGCACTCTCAATAAAATTGGACAAAGAAATAGAGAAAGGAGGGAAGCTACAAGCTTCGGCAAACAATGCACTTTGATATATTTAAAACAATTTGCAAACACTTCTGACATGGAATGACAAATCAGAGACTCATCCTAAAGCCTTACGGGAGGCTTATTTATACAAGCAGAAAATGAAGGACCACTCAAGTGCTTTTAATAAAATAAACACAATAGCACACACAAACAGATCATATGAACTTTGGACAGTCTAGCACACATGTGCAGCTATCTTTCCAGCTTGCAATCAACATAGTTTCGGCTAGCACATCACATGGCAGCACACAGCTGCTGTCTTTGAACACACTTTCAGCTGGCACATGGAGGAAACTTTAGTCTTTGTAGTTGCAGCAAGTGTGAATACAACCTGTAAAGAAACTAACAGCTAGCAGCTGCCATTTACAACCTGATTTGATTTGAATTTCCCAACAAAAAAATAAGAAAAGAATTGGCAGCCGCAATGGATAACTTTCCAGATTTGGAGCACAATATAAAAACGAAAACCAACCGTCTTTTCATTATAGTTAGTTTCAACGATTTTGTTAAGGCCTCAATCTAGGTGCAGATATGTTGACATTTGAAGCATAAGATTTGGAATGTACTCTATATTCAAATCTTCAAAGTACAGGGCAATGAGAAAATAGCTTTCACGTTGCCACTGAATCACAAGATCCTCTACCTGGACAATTAGGACCTTGAAGACTCGGGAAACAGCCTGATGTAGGAGGAGAACAATAATAAAATTGATGACAAACCTTTCAAAAACCTCTATGTTTGCACAAAGAAGGAGCTTTGAGTGCAATCAATACTCATCACAGCAATCCCCAAAGACAAGATAGAAGATCCAGAGATAAAACAACATTTTGTGCCTGAATAGCAGTGCAGATCCAATTATAAATAAGAGTTAAATGATCCCGGTGTGTCACTAGAGCTTTATCACACCTATAAAGTTCAATACTGAATTTTTGAATGTCTGATAAGCTCTTGAAGGGGAAAAGTACGACGATTCAACAAATGTTAAAAACGATGGATTCAATCCATGGAATAAGAAAACAAGTCATGTTGGATTCAATCATGAATAGGAAAACAATCATCATCAATTCAGAGTTTGGGAAGAGGAGTCCATAAAGTTCCCCATCGTCTTGACAGAATTGTATCTGCACAGCATCTATATCGAAAGAATGAAAAGTATGTGGCAAAGAATGAATTCTTGGCAATTCACTGATCCTATTCAACTCGCTCTTTGACACTTCGATGTCGAACCCATGGTATGTACCCTGAGGCTAATAAAAAACATTAAGAGATACTTTTCTGTTAGTCACCTTTGAGAACATAAAAAGCTTTTAAAGACCAAACTTAAGCAACGAAAAATGCATGCAAAGAACATTAGACCTATATTATATGTAATTCACGATACAATAAAGTTATTCCAAGGAAGCAACAGTTAAGAAGAAAAACAGTTAAGAGAGTAGTACCTGGGTGATAAGAGCTTCTAAGTATGACCGAGGCAACGAAACATTTTGAATGATGCAGAGAAAATGCAAGAGTCGGGAATCTCTGGATCGATAGTCAGATTTTACAGAGCAGAGAAACTTTCCACACACTCATTGAGAATTTACAGAGGTCCAAAAAGTTAATAACTTAAGAATCGTATGATAATACCACAAAAGAGCAGTAAAATATGTTGCCTCGCCCGTTTTTTATGAAAACAGTACAAATCTTGATCAAGGGAAAAACGTACAAAAACTTGAGATAGTGTGCATAAGGGCCCCGATAAAAAGCCCGTCGGAAATTTCAACCCAGTTCAATGGAAAAGAGCACCCCGCAAATCAACATAAGGCAACCTAGCTTCCTCAGGAATAAAATTATAAAACCAGCCACATAACTAGAAATTATCCCTCTAGTTAAAATGTCCATGATGATGTCCGGGTGTTTCCCTCAACCACCGAGTGACACTCAATTATGTTGACCGTTTTGAATTCTCTTTTTGGGAATTTGGTGTCATATAACTCCTTTTTTACTTTCCACGCATCTTCTTAATTTTCACATTTGAATTAAAGAGTTGAAGAAGATAAAAGACATAAATTAAAACGGCATTGTGGATAGCAATTCTCATTCGTCACTTGTTGTATTATAATCTGATACTTTCAGGACAAACAAAAAAGATACAAATCAACAAGGTTTTAGAATTTGAGAGTGAGTGAAGGAACCAAAAATACACTCTTCATTCACCATCAATGGCTCAATTTTATTGATTATTTTTCGTTAACGGGAAAAGGGAGGATTTGTATTGAAGTGACCGACAGATTTTTGTTCTTTGGTGACCAGTATGTAATTGGTGAGTTAATGAGTAAATTTTGTTCAGGTTCTTCGTTTTATTCTGACTAGAACGATCATCTGATCAAACAAAATAACGTTGAGCACGAAGAACCCTGTTAGAAAACTCCCAATAATTGCGAGCACTAAGAACAAGCTTCCAATTGGATCGAAAATTTGAAAATGCAGACACAAAGCCGCAAAGAAAGATTATATCAAAACAAAAGTTTTATGCTGAAGATAAATATTCCTTATGGGAAACCTGAAAAAGCTTTGCTTATGATCATCAAAAAATTTACCTTGACACTCGTAAGCCCTTAGACTCAGGAAAAGCATAGGAAGTAACCTTGGACGTCACCTGTTTGGGTTAAAACTGGACTTTGGGCTGAAGGATGGAGTCAGCCCAACAGGAGGCCTGGAGGAATAGAAGATCAAGGCCCGGCCGAAACTTAGGAAGCAGGAAGAGGCCTTTTTCTGACTTGATACAATTCATAGAAGCCACTTGCTTACCTACCCAAGGACCAAGTGGTGTAGACTGATCAGACTGCACAGCCCATAAAGTACTTTATGGTGGCATTATATGTAATAAAGTTGATGAGTCATCACCCTCAGACCGCATTCGGGCAAAAACTGTTGCTACAGGAGCCAAACCGAGTCGTCTATAAAAGGAGGAAGAGGAGACAGGAATGAGGACACTCAAACAAACAAACAAATGTAAGCCAAAACTCTGCTCAAAGCCAGATTTGCCTTTCAAAAACGAAGTTGTAGTCAGCCCAAGCCTTCATCCCATTCGGGACAAGCCTTTATCCCCCGCGGGATAACCTTTTCTTCTAACCTCTGTAATAGCTCTGCTACCTTGTTCTAAACCTGTGGTAGTATCGATTCACCTTTTGTATCCTCTCTCTCTCTCTCCCTCTAAGCTTTCAGACCTTTGACAAAACTACAAAGATAGGGACCTGCAAGATGATCAGCCTTAATTGATAAGGTTTAATCTTGCCCGACCTGCTTTGCTCTGTCTTTGTCTTTTCTTTCTTTAAAGTCTAGCAATATGTTGTATACTTCCAGTTATATGCAAGTTGTTTCTAGCAAAATCACGATGACAAAGCTTTCTCAGTACTTGGATCCGATTTGAATATATCTTCAGTGTTTAAATCAGATCCAAGTCCTAAGCCCTCGGGCATGTAAATCCGATTAGTTTAAAAGTCCTTGGCCTCAAGGCATAAAAAAAGAACTTTATGTGGACTTAACCCATCCACGACAATCCTTGATAAACGAGAAGTCCGAAGTTACTTGGGCGCAAGTAATCGACCTACCTCTTGGTTTTGTTTCTATTATATCATGATTATCATAGAACGCTTAAGTATGGAATGGATTCTGATAGGAAGCCTCAAGGCCTACACCTAAGGCCCCACAAAGGCACTTATTTGGATTCATTCTATTCTGCGGTCTAGATGGTTTGAGTATAAGAACGGACTCTAATGGGAAGCCTCAAGGCCTACACCTAAGGCCCCACAAAGGCACCTATTTGGGTTCGCTCTACCTCTCAGACTCGGATAATCAGAAATATAATAGTTATAAGACTCCGACAAACATAAGTTCAAATATGATGTGTTCGAGCACTGGTTTAGTTTGACAGTAAGCCTCAAGGCCTACACCTAAGGCCCCACAAAGGCACTTGTCATATCTAACACGGTTTCTCGGGTATATACATGTTTGCACCTAAAATTCGACATCCATTCTACATCTGCCATACTGAAGATGGCAGTGGCACGCCTGAGCACCTCAAAAGTTAATCTTGATTGTGAGCCTCAAGGCCTATACCTAAGGCCCCACAAATGCACCTTTCAAATTAACTTTGTCCTTCTCTTTCAGACTTGCCCAACAAGTCTCGCCCGCAGAGTCTTGCCCGATAAAAGACTTGCCCGACGAGACTTGCCCGACAAAACCCGACAGGAAAGCAGAAGCCCGACAGCAGCCCTCAACCGGCGCCGATCTCCCAGGGAAGCTGTGTGCTCGTTGGCCAGGAAGTCATCCCCGACAGAAATTCCTGCGACGAACACCACCTTCAAAACCTCCAGTGCTCTGGACAATGAGAGGCTTTCAGGCAATTCAAAACTCATGTCAATGTAATCCTAAAGATTAAGATCAAGTTCAACACCATTATACCCAACAGTAGTGCAAATCAAATCACGAATACGAGAGGTCCTCCACAGTTACTGATCCATATATGCCCCCATGCCGAAAAAGTCGAAGACTATATTTTTTATGTCTGTTGAGTCATGAAGGGAGAGTAAACGATCAATGAACGTCATCATGGAATTCCACTTTGGGAAGAGAAGTCCATAATTAAGTTCTCCCATCGTCTTGACAGAATGGTATGTATCCTGATGGCTAATCAAAAACATTATTAAGATCACTGTTCTGTTGCACTTTTGATAACTTAGCAACTTTTTCAATGTAAAATTTCATACAAACTTAAGTAAATAAAAAGAGATGAAATATTTAGACCTGACAAATATTTACCAAAATACTCACATGTATGAGTGCGCGCGCACACACAGATAGGCACAGAATTTTATTTTCTCAAGGAAAGTTTGTCTAAGGAAGCAAGCAGATTAAAGAAGAAGAGTACCTGACAAGGGCTTCTGAAATAGTAAAAGCTCCGATTGATTCCTGAGAAAAATCAGTAAAGGCTGCAACTCCTGGAGTTTGGACTCAGAATTTATAATAATCAATCATTTATAGAGAGAAGCTTCCCACACTCCAAAAGTTAATATGTATATACATGCGATTATGAAAAGAAACATAGTTAATAGGCTTGTGCTGGGAATCCTCATTGCTCATTCCTCATCTCGTTTTGAATTCGGACCAAGAAATTGAATAAAGAAAAATACTTTCAAAATTGTTCAATTATTTTCCTTTCGCAACTCGGGTTTACTAGGATTAGATAATCTATGCTCTTTATTTTATAGCTAAATTTTAGCTAAAATTATTCGGCTCAAGTACGAATAGAGTTTAGGGTTAAAACTCACTTAAAATATTAGCCCACGTCATCACCTTATGCTACCCACCTAATAAATGTCCAACATTTGTT